CAATGATTTCTAGTGATGATATATTTCTGCAGTCACCACTTAGTTCAGTGGAAGTATCAGAACTGATAGATTCAAGCATCATGCCAGTGATTTCGCCTACTGAACGAATAGCGTACACAACAATTTTTAGTGAGAGTTTGTTTCAGTCATTATCTGAGCCAAGTGAAATAACCCTTGTGCAGCCATCCATGAGTTGGACTCGAATATCATTACCCTCAAGTTACATCTTTGAACAAACAAGTATAAGCAATATTTTCCCAACCCAGGTAAGTTATCATATCACTATGTCACTGTGACCTTTGATTTTCCATGATGCCTATTCAAGCTAGTAACCAGTTTAACTGTGGGACAGAATTTATTTTAAAAAACATTTGACAAACTGTCTCTAAATAGACATGCAGCACTTACCGTTAAAACCAATCTTAACTGAGCATACATGCTGATTTTTTTTATATAGGTTTTTGTTTCTTGTAATATGTAACTGTCATTTGATAAAACTATGTCTGCACCCAATCTATGCCCCTATCTCATTATAAATATGTGGCACTGGCAACTGTTCAGTCATTGCAGTCTGTAACCTGTGTTTACATTTTTCAAACATTATGCCAATATTTTCTCCCATACATATTTTATGCTGCTAAGGAGATACTTTTCCAGTCTTTGCACGCTTGCAGATTAAGTATTGTATTTACAATCTTACCAACTGCAAGTACACCTGGCATACTGCCTTAAAGAAGGGTGCTGTTTCTTATTTCAGTGGAACAGTCACAACCCATAGATTTAAGCATTGTGGCAATAATTTCACCAACTGAAATGAAGTCAGGAACAATGGTCACATTTGAAGAACTAGTGTGTCAGTCATCATGAATTTTATTGAAAAACTCAGCTATCATATAATCAAGCATTAACCAAGTAATCTGTCCAACTACAAGTACATCAAATATACCGGCTTCAAGTGGGAGAATATCTCTTCAACCATCAGAGAGTTCAGTGAAACAATCACAGCTGATAGATTTATCTGTAATTACAAAAGTTTACCAGCTGAAATAGTATCAGATACAATTATAGAAGAAATAGATTTTTAGTCATCATGGATTTCATTGGAAGTATCAACACTGATAGATTTGAGCATTATGTCAATAATCTGCGAGTGCACTCGTGATTTCCAGAAGGCTTTGCAGTTATCAACACGTAACCTTAACATCAATTATACCAGAAGTGTTTTTGACGTCGCCAGAGAATGCCATTGAAATATCACCACTAATATATTCAAGCATTTAGATGATCTTTTCATCAACTGCAAGTATATCAGTCTTTAATTTGGTAACACCATGATATCAGCGAATGATATGAATGTGATGCATTGAATGAAATATAATCACATTGCATTGCTTTCAATTTAATAAAAAATACTAGTGATGTGACAAAATATCAAAGCAATCTGTATTTTGTGAAATATAGCGTATGTATTTGCTTACTAATGGTGCAACATTAAATGAGCGTATGCAAGAATATTAATATATAGGTATTAGTTATTTATTTTGTTTAGTGTAACGCTTTGTAATGTTTCTCATCTTTCTTCTTTCTACATGTTTCACAGATAGGTGAATATATACTTTCCTTCAACAAATGATGGAATTTTGCAGAGCATGTTTATGTTCTGTTTTTGTTATTTATTCACATGTGTTTACACTTTCAAGATTATGTTTTACTGGTGAACCATGTGAGCATGGAACTACAGTTTTGCAAGATGCCTAAACAATTTGCTACCTAATTTGCAAACTAGCTAACTGACTTGCCATGTACGCTTGGAATAAATGGTTGGGTGTGCATGTAAAATGAACTGAAATCAATTTGTTTTTGTCTAGTTTCATGCGACGTAAGGAAACGCTAACTGTGTATACTGACAAATGAAGCCCTGAACGCCATGGAACCATTGCTATATCAAAAATACCATGTCTCTATTTATGATATCTCACTATAAACTGAATCTTCGCTAATAATTTTGTAAACGCTGAAATCAAATAAGCTTTCTTGTAACTTGTCTCAAACAACTGTACGATACATATGGTTGAAAGATACAACTTTATGTGAATATGAGAGTTACTTTCGTTTGGACCTACATGTATTGCCAAACATGATTTATAATTGTTGACTCAGACGGAATGCCTGTAAATTGTTCTTACTTCTGTTTTAATAATCTAACATTAAGGCAATATTTTCAGTGAACCTAGGTTGATGGATATGGATGAACTCCTACCAATAAATGGCACACACCATTTACTTAATGTCTCAGTTGGCATTGCCTCTGTATTTTCTTTGCTTTGGTGTCAGTTAGCTGTTTTGCATTTAGGTAGCAGATCAAGAATGCAGTTTCATGTGCATGTGTCCCACCAGTAATGAAATGTAACATTTAGCATAATGTGCAACTCAAAATGTCTTACTGTTGTATGGTATTTAACACAACAAAACATTATATTTATTAAAAAAATGTTTAAAATATACTTACATAAAAGTGATACGTTTTTCAGCTGTTATGTGCATTCTGATTGTTTTTTGCTGTTGTGGTTTTCGTGTATGTATCAGCCATTTTTTGGTGCACTGTCATGTTTTAAAGTGTAATGCTTATTAGTCCCCGTTCGGACGCAGTCCGAAAACGGGGACTTATGTTTTGCCCTGTGTGCGTGCGTTCGTCCGTCCGTGCGTACCTGTATCTCGAACATGCATGGACCGATTAAGTTCAAACTTCACTCATACATCACACATTATATGGGACATATGCACATGCATTTTGTTCATGATCCGATTAACGATTGCCGAATAGCGGCCATTTTAAGGCCGAAAATGCATCAAAATCGCACATTTTCACCATTCCGGACCCGGATCTCAGTTATGCATGGACGGATTTTGTTCAAATTTGATACATACATTAAACATAATAGGACCTTGATGCACGTCATTTTTTTTTGGATCGGGTTCGAAATGGCCGACTGGCAGCCATTTTGTTTTAAAGAATTCAGTTCTGGATCCGTATCTGAGACATGCTTGGATTGATCGAGTTCAAACTTCACACATACAAGGTACATCATGTCACAAATATGTATGTGCATTTGTTTCATGATCTCATTAACGATAGCCAAATGGCG